AGAAAACGTTTTCACTTTTCTTTCCTTTACTCCATAAAAGCAGCCTAACAGCTAACTTCCTGGGATTACACTGCAGGGGAGTTGTCAGTACCAGGAATGACTGACAGCCCATGGGGTCAGGAAGGGTTTGCACAAATAGTACCTTTAACATAAAAGATTCGGGCACCGGAAGAATGAGGTGTCTGTGTGGGTCCTGTGAGGCACCGGCTGGAACCGCCCAGGGGCATCTGTTGAAAATTCAGCTTCTTCTGTCCAGGGGAAATGATGGGACCAGGGACACAAGATCCGAAGTAAAAACAGGGATTGCTTATTGAGAAAGACTAAAGTAAGTAAATAAAAGATTAACGCTCCAGAAAGTAAGAGTGGGCTAGTGAGCTGAAGCCATGGGCCGTGGGCCATCCCACCCTTGACAAGATACCTATACTTCACTGTCTTGGAAACCGTGGGGACCAGAAGCCACCACCGATGACCTTGAACTTGTGATCCTCCTGCCTCCACCAACTGTGTGTCCCTCCACCTTCTTGGTGCCGGAATTACAGGTCTGCGCCATTTCACCTAGAATATGAGATGTCGGGGGTGGGATCCATGGCCTCCTGAATGCTAGGCAAACGCCCTGCCTGGTGAGCCACATCCTCAGCCCTGTGTGAACGGCCTTAAATCTTGTGCTAGTGGCACATTCTTTAAGGCCTTTGCTGATTTTTCTTGTGAATCTAGTCTCTCTTGTTATTTCCCCTTGATGTCCTGGCATCCTCCTCCCGGCCCACCCAGGAATCTGGAACACCAGACATTTGTAGTCTTAGCTTCCGATACTCCTGCAGAGAGTTTTGTTCCTTGTGGCTGAAGATCACACAGAACAGGAGGAAACTGGCCTGAACAAGTTGAAGGAGCTCAGGAGGAAGGCTGACAGTCTCGGTGTCATCGGTGTCATCGAATCAGCGTCACAGGAAGGAAACGACTGTCAAGAGATGGACCCTAACAGTGGACACTGCAGCTTCCAGGTGTGTCTGCAAACTGAACAGCCTCCAGGTGGAAATGTATTGACTTGAGGCTAGGGAGACACGTCACTGTGTAAGAGTGGCTGCTTTGTCGTTATGAGGCAGGGTTCAAATCCCCCAGAACCTCCAGAACTCACATGGTTGCAACACCTATAATGCCATCTGTGTGGTTCAGAGACAGACAGATTGTGGTACAAACTATGCCTCAGGTTCCTTCATGCTCACAGATAGACGCTAGTGTGCGCACTCACACACGCGCATGCACGTACACATGCGCATGCACGTGCACACACACCCTGTCTTAGGGTTTCTAGTGCTGTGAAGAGACACCATGACCACAGAAACTCCTATAAAGAAAAACATTTCATTGTGGTGGGCTATGGTTTCTCAGAGGTTTGTTCAGTCCATTATCATCACACTGGGACATGGCAGCATGCAGGCAGACACAGTGCTGGAGAAGGAGCTGAGAGTCCTGCGTCTCCATCTTCAGGCAACAGGAAGTGAACTGTCACACTGGGCGTAACTTGAGCACAGGAGACCTCAAAGCCTAGCCCACAGTGACACACTTCCTCCAACAAGGCCACACCTTCTAATAGTGCCATTCCCTGAGTTTATGGGGACCAATTACATTCAAAGTACCGCGCACACATACATATGTACCAGACACACAGACTAAAATACATTGATTCAATTACTCAGACAATAATACCATTTCTTAGATTTTTGGACCAATTTTTTGGAAAACTAAAGATAAATTTGGGAAACTTTGAATACAATCTCTTTCATATTCATGAAAAGTTGTCCCAATTGGGAATGAGATCTTGTGATAACTGTATGCAGATCACATTCTCCAGATTTTGTGGGATGTGGAAGGGCCGAGAAGTTTATTTTCTTCTTAAAGAAGGATTTTTCTGAGTCTCATGATTTCAATTCATTCCTTAATAACAGATTTTAAAATTTCTTTTCAGATTTATTTTACGTGTATGAGTGTTTCGGCTGAATGTACATATGTGTACCTTGTGCGTGCAGTGCCCGAGGACGTGTGGATGGCTGTGAGCCCCCAAGTGTCCCCACTGAGGTGACTCTCCAGCCCCCCTTACCACTCCCATAACAGTTTTAAAAGAGAGCAAAATTATGGTCCATTCAGGAGAGAGGGAGCAGAATTTCCTGCATTCATGGTTTATGCGTAGCCTTCCCTTTTCTACCCCACCTGGGGGGCAGAAAGAACAATCATTCTTTACTCTCTCCTCGAAGCCCAGAATCTAGTTCCTAATATCGCATGTGCACAGGCGTGCGTGCGTGCACACACACCCCATAAATGCGTGTGTGTGTGTGTCTGTGTCTGTGTCTGTGTATATATATATATGACAATTCAAAACAGACCCCACTGGGGATGTAGTTCAGTAGAGAGTGATTGCCCAGGTCACGTGAGGTCCTGAGTCCCATCCCAGTACAGGGTTGGGGTGGGAGGTTCCTACCCGTGGTTTCCAACAGCCATTAATTCTAAATCATTTATTGCCACGCGAACACACTACCCCAGGCTAACCTTGGGAAACCGGAGGTGCTGTGGTGTCTGTAGGCCAGGCTTGTGCAGGTTTAAAAAGAGCCTCTTGGGGTGCCAGGAATCACAGTTTTCAAAACTTGAAAACTTGAAAAGTTTTGAAAATCATACTGCCCCATCTCTTTTGTAGAGAAGGGAGTCAAGAGGAGCAGGTGACAGTCGACCTGGGTGCAGTGGCCAAGCCTGGAGGGCACAGGATCTCTCCTCTGCTATCCGGCTCCTCCAGCTAGCCTGAGAGGTCACACAGGAAAGCGAGGGCGGACCCAGGCTGAGTCAGCTCTGCTGCTCCTGACCCCAGTGCCTCCCAGAAAGGCCAGACTCCTTGTCCCAAAGCATGACAAAGGCCTGTCCTTCTTCCTCCAGGGTGTCTGTCACACTGTCACCATCTTTGTTATTTAATGGGGTGTGCTCCGGGAACACAGGACACTAAGCGTATCTTCCCAGGAGTGCTCCAGAGCTCTGTCCTGTGACTCTGAGGGTGCAAGGACCCAAAGCTGACCCTTCTAGCCCCACCCTCCCAACTCGGCACAAGATCCATTGTTCCCGAGACTTGACTTGCAAACCAGAACCAGAGGGGATGTTGTTAAGAGATCAAAGTCTAAACTAATATAGCAGAGCCTTCTTGAGTGGGTCCCTTCCGAGGGCCAGGCACGGAGCGTCCGCTCTGGCTGCAGGCAGGAAGCCAGGTCAGAGATGGGCATCTGCTGGGACCTCTGAAGTTATTCAGACACACCAGAGATAAAGTTCAGGGGAAGAAGTGTCAGCCTTGCCTTCTCTTGCCTTGGGCTGTCACCTTCTCTGCGGTGGGAGTGGGGACGGTCTGTTTGTCTATCATGAGCCCTGAGAGGGGGAAGAATTTGAGATGTGCTCCATCATGGCTCCTCTCCCCGCTTACCTTCCTCCCCATTCTAGGTATGGAACCCAAGGCTTGTGTAGAGTAGGCCAGAATTCTACCACTAAACCCTAATCCAGTTTCTCCATATCACCCCTTAGTATGTATGTGTGTGTATGTGTGTATTTGCCTGTATTTGTTCATGTATGTGTTCACACATACATGGTGTATGTAAGTGCAGAGGCAAAGAGAACCTGGAGCATCATTCCTCAGGAGCTAACCATCTTGGTTTTTGAGTCAAGAGTCCTTCAGTGGGATCTGGGGTTCATACGCCACCGTCCTGGTTTCTCTACACGTGTTCTAAGGATGGAACTGGGGACCTCACACTTGCGTGACAAGCATTTTATAGGCTGAGCCATCTCAGTCGCTGGCCCCCTCATCCTCAGCACAGGCACAGGGTGGCCACAAGACCTTCCTTGTCGTTCCTTGCAACTTTTGGGCAGTGTCTATGGATGGCCACATAGACACTCATCCTTGAGTCTGTGGAATCTCACTGTGGCACTGACCCCTGCCCTCTGCTTACTTTTGATGCTGCTTATGGATTTAGCTCTTCGAGAGACCACACAGCAGGACTCAATCCGTGAGCATGTGGAGCCTACCTGTGGAGGTACCACAGCTGTCCTCCAGGGAAGGACCTTGGCATTTGACTGTCTTGGTGTTGAAGCCCTTTTGTTCTAGCTAGCTAGCTAGCTGTCTGTGCCCCGGACACCCTACACACAGGATCTCTGCACCCTCACCCCCAGGCCTGTGGTGCGGTAAGGACTCATCTGGGTGGTTGCCACACTGACGCGGCACTGAGTCAGAGAGCGGAGATGGCTTTCCGAGATAGTACGTTGGGTTGATGTGGAGATGCAGTCTCAGGACTTGGCGCTATGGCGCCTGCCTGCCTCCTTCCGGACTGCTTGACACTGGTTAATTTGTGCTTGGAGCGTGTCGGAGACTCTCCAGGGCTCCTGTTGGCACTCCCTGGCCTTTTATGGATGGAAGGTTCTTATTAGCACTCGGGAAGTCGGAGTTTCCCTTCCGGATGGGTTAATGCATATTTGGAAAGAAGAGTGTGGAAAGGAAGCACGGGAGTGTCCACAGCCCAGCAGTACTTTGGGCTACAGAACAATGACCACTTACAGCCAGTAGGAGGGACCCTCTGCATGGGTGCATTAGGAAATATCTGGGAAGAGACCTCTACAGTGCAGATCGGAGACTGGGCCTGCTCACAGCTCATTAGCCCCGTGGCCAGGCGCCAGAGGTTGGTGGAAAAGAACAGGTGACTCCTCTCAGGAACATCATTAAAGCCCCGTGGTTTGCGCTTGGCATTCAGGGACCATTGCCAAATACTTGCCCTTGGAATAATGTTTCCAGGTCTTCCTATTTGGAGGACGAGGGAAGCAAGGTGAAGGCCTGAAAGGAACGGCAAGCAAGAACAAAACCCAGGTGCCCTGCCAAGAACGAGGCTGATGGTAAGAACGTCACACGTAAGGACAGAGGCGTCCTGTCTGTGTGAAGCAAATAATCAGAGCCATGGTCAAGGTCATATCAGCATCCTCTGCTCACATCTGGACAACTGTGGACTCACATGCATGCCAGAGGATCTTACCAGCCTGGAGACAACCACACCAGGATGGCCAGGTTGGGTCCCGCACCCCAAAAGTCACAGCCATCCCAGGTGAGGAACACAGTTTTAGCTACTAGATTCACAGGACTTTCCATCCGCCCACCCCCTTCAGCAGGGCAGCCAGGCTTCAGGTTTGAGCTGTGGAGAGCCAGGGGATCTCTGACTCACTCGCCTCCTCTCCAGCTGCGACAGAGTTCTGGGAATGTGGGGCCCATTTTGAGTGATGGGACATTCCTGAGCTGGGGCTCGCAGCAGTCATAAGTCAACCGTCAACCGCCCACTTCCTCTCCTGGTCATGCTGCTTCATCTTAGGAGCAAGGCTAACCCAAAGCTCTTGAACCTCATACGCCTTAGGGAAGGGAGGCGGGCGAGCGGCGTGGGGCAGGCACCCAGCAGAGTGCATCGTCCAGCCACAGAGAGGGCAGAGGACAGGGACAGCAGCTGTCCCCTCTGCTTCCCACAAACAGGAAAGATGTCTCTCAGCTCAGGCATGTGATGTTCGAGACTTGCTTGTTTCATAACACGTGTTCACAGGGGATCCAGAAACACATCTCTTCTGGGGGTAGACATTGCTGGTTTTGAACATTTGAAGTCACAGACAGATGACTCTGTCAACCTTTGACCTGTGGGTAAACATTCGTGCATCTGAATCCCAGAAAAACGTTATTTATTAACAGAACTCTGAATAGACACGCATGGCAAGCTCGCAGGGGGCAGCCTGAGGCAGTGGACGATACAGAGGACAGTGCAAGGGGCACTGGCCTCACCAGGGACTGCCGTCATGGGGAAGGCTGGCGCCCACAGTGTGCTGAGGTGGACTGTGGAGGGAAGGACGGTGCTCAGGGAGCTGACGGCCAGGCACGAGGGAGGACAAGACCCAGGAGAGATGTTTGCGCTGGGTGGGACCCAGTCTGCTCAGATGACCCGCTTTCAAAGAACAGTGAGACCTAGGGGGAAGCAGAGCATGGGTGCAGAAGGCCAAGATGGGGGCTGGAGATTTGGGCACACAAGTCATAGCCCATGGCTAGATTGGCAGGGGCTCCTAGAGGTGTTACAGTCCTGAGTAGAGAGTAGCGTCACCAAAGTGCCACAGCCAGGTCACCCTGATGGCACTCTGAACTTTGGCCTTAAAAGGGCTGGTGGAGGGGAGCTGTCAGGAGATCCCATCACTGCTAGACCAGAGTGCCAAGGTGTGGAACTCCCCTGCCCAGCTCCCCGCTGGAGAGCCCCTGGTGACTAACAGTTTGCTGAATTCTCGCCCAAGCTGCCTTGTGTACCCTGAGAGCCTCGGCCCTAAGTGGCAGGCTGCTACTGTAGCATCTTCCAGGGGGAGAGTCTCGAGTCCGAGGCGTGGAGACAAGAGGTCACCACCCACAGTGAGGCAGCGCCTGAGCAGCAGGGCTAGGACTCAGACCTGTCTGCTGCTGCCACACCCACTCAGGAGAGGAGAGGGGCTCTAATCATGTCCAGCTAGGAGCCTCTGAGGACAGACAGCTGACAGGGCAAGCAGATGAGGAAGGAGCAGTGTAACTGGGGTGGGTGGGCCAGATGAAATTTTAACACTGGCGCAGATGGTGACAACTCGTGGCCAGAGTGACCAGCCCAAGGTTCGTGTGAGTTCTGCCTTGGTAGAAGGTGAAGAAGAGGTTTATAGAGATCATAGGCATACTTGTGAGGCCTCAGGCATCCTCGCGATGACCTGTGACGTGTCCCTCCATCAGCTTCAGTGTGTGAGAAACAGATATGACCTGTGACGTGTCCCTCCATC